CGCTTGCGTTGTCAGCACTGCTGCCTTGCCTTTGGCCTCTAACGCGGCGTGCCGTGCGCCTCGCGACCCGTGTGTGTGTTGGAGAGATGCCGGACCCGTGTGTGTGTTGGAGAGATGCCGGACCCGTGTGTGTGTTGGAGAGATGCCGGACCCGTGTGTGTGTTGGAGAGATGCCTGTCCGAAGGCGAGCGGCGGCAGCGCGGCGTGCCGTGCGCCTCGCGACCCGTGTATGTGTTGGAGAGATGCCGGACCCGTGTGTGTGTTGGAGAGATGCCGGACCCGTGTGTGTGTTGGAGAGATGCCGGTCCGAGGACGAGCGGCGGCAGCGCGGCGTGCCGTGCGCCTCGCGACCCGTGTATGTGTTGGAGAGATGCCGGACCCGTGTGTGTGTTGGAGAGATGCCGGTCCGAGGACGAGCGGCGGCAGCGCGGCGCAAGGCTGTCATCCGGTCGAACACGTGACTCCACCGCCATGCCGTCGATGTGAGGCGAGCGTGCGGTGACTGTCCGGTGGGACGCTGGCCAGGGAGGTGCCATAGCGTGTCCGATTATCCCAGGCGATCGTATCCTGTGGCATGGCTGCTCTGGTAATGCTGTCAATAACCCTGGATTTCCCTCCGCGCGGTCATTCAGTGGCATGTGTGCTGTTTCGTTCCGCCTGGTCCTTACGCAGTCGGGCCGTCGGGCGATGCGGACTATTTGGAGTATTGCTGGGCCCAGCTGGCCCCGCGGACCAGCTGGGCCCAGCTGCGGGTGCCAGCAGGTGCCAGCATTCCGCCCCGGCCGCGCCTGAGCCCGCCGGAAGCCGGGCCAGCCCGCCGGTGACCAGCTCGGCGCGTCGGCGGCGGCGGCGGCGGCGGCCGCGCCACGTGGACGCCGGCCTCTCCGTCCGTGCAGGGTCACGGCCCGCGCCTGTGTTGAGCCGCTGGTGACGTGGTAAGCGGTGGCTGTTGCGCCACGCGGCCTCGCGCTGGGCCGAGGCGGTGGCGGTCGGCGTCGGTGGTGCGATAAGGCCGCACCAGGCTCAGGTGCTGTGGGCTTCGGCCGGCCGGGCAGGTAGCATTTATTTCCCGTCTTTGTTCGTATGCGCCCTTGGGCCCATGCAGGTGGCCGTTGACAGAGTGGTGTGCGTGCAGCTGGTGCGTGTCTCACTTTACATATGTCGACGCCACGCATTAAAACGCATCGCAGAAACCTTGCCGAGATAGGGAGTAAGTACGTGACGCTGTCGGGACGACGTCGTCGGAACCCTAGGCTACCGTGGCGGCCGAACGATGGGGATGGCTCGACGGCGCGGTCCAACGGGGAGCCAGCTGGCAGTACCAGGGTACCTGCAAATGCAGGTTACCGAGTTTAGCAGATGTAAGCCGGCTGCCGGGTACGCCACTCCCCGGCCGGCGTGGCGACTGGCTCGGCGAACGGAGCGGAGCGGCCACGGCCGCTCCTAAGGTGGATTCAGATACGCTCCATCGGCGCTGAATGTCGCCATTGGCTGCGAGCAGGTCGGCTCCCCCACCTGAGATCTCGGGTCTGGGCAACGATTGGTGATCGCTGGGGTCGTACAGGAAAGGTTGGTGTCTGACCAACTTTGGCATCCGGAATTAGGTTTCGACAGCAATGACAATGTAAGTGGCGCGCTTGAGACGAAGGGGAAGTAAATTTCAACAATTCTTAACGAAATTATGTGTATCCCTTTTTTACACTCACAGATGCCGAGAGCACATCTAAAAATTGATTTCCTGTCCATACGTAGCATCCCTATGCGCCAGAATCTAAACGTCGGTCGGTCAGTTACGGAACCTTACTAACACCAGACAACTGCAAACGAACCATCTCCTCTGCCAGCACCTTTGAATGTGAAGTACCGCATGCACTCACTCCTGTTACACAACCCCGCAACCCCTCTCCTGTTAACCCCGCAACCCGTCTGCTGCTGCGCATGAGAACTATTGACCCGCGGACAGCAAACACTGACTTGTCGACACCCTGGGGTGGTTTCCTCCGTCCGAAGCAGTCGCACCAGCCACCCTCACCTTGTCGACACCCTGTGGTGGGCCTCCTTCGTCCGAAGCAGTCGCACCAGCCACCCTCACCTTGTCGACACCCTGTGTGGGCTCTCAGTCTGAAGCAGTCGCACCAGCCACCCTCACCTTGTCGACGCCCTGTGTGGGCTCTCTCAGTCTGAAGCAGTGGCACCAGCCACCCTCACCTTGTCGACACCCTGTGTGGGCCTCCTCCGTCCGAAGCAGTGGCACCAGCCACCCTCACCTTGTCGACACCCTGTGTGGGCCTCCTCCGTCCGAAGCAGTGGCACCAGCCACCCTCACCCCATCGACGCCCTGTGTGGGCTCTCTCTGTCTGAAGCAGTGGCACCAGCCACCCTCACCTTGTCGACACCCTGTGTGGGCTCTCTCCGTCTGAAGCAGTGGCACCAGCCACCCTCACCTTGTCGACGCCCTGTGTGGGCTCTCTCAATCTGAAGCAGTGGCACCAGCCACCCTCACCCCATCGACGCCCTGTGTGGGCTCTCTCCGTCTGAAGCAGTGGCACCAGTGACAGTGGCAGAAGCAGTGGCAGCGGCAGTGGCTCGACAGCTGGCCTTTCCCGTGTCTCATTGCTTTGCTCATCGAAATAACAAGAACAGTCAAATCTCGCGCGTTCTTCTGCATTGCGACGCGATGTTAGGGCTATGGCCTCGGGCTGGAGCCTGAAAACGTATTAACAAGCTAACTTTTATTCGCTGGTGGCTGCAGGATCTTGAAAAGAAGGGGATGTAAGGAAAAAGTATTTGACATCGAACGAACCATTCCATTTCACCTAATAGTGTTTGGCCGTCTATCCCGTTAAGCGTCGCGTATATCCGTCTTTGGCGGGAGCCGGATCACTGCCACGTGCAGGACAGACCGAGGTGGGTGGAAGCGCTGGCTCGGTGCGGCCTTGGCATGCGCGCAAGCCATAACAGTGACCGCTCCCCTCTCCGCCTTCCCCAGCCGCATGCTCCAAGTTGTCCGGATTGGAAGTTGAGCAATTATCACGCCGCAGAGTGTCCTGGGCTCGTCCTTGGCACCTTTTCCATTGGCCAGCGCCATATCTGTGCTTCGACATGGAAAACACGGCGGCCAAAAACTTTGCTAGGCCAGCATGCAATACATGAGCACACGCTCACCTCATTAAGGAGCACACAAACCAGAGTTGGTTCTGTACGTCCGTCTAAGACATTTTTGCTCAGTGCGCGTGATGAATAGGTATCTAAAGTACGTTTCAGGTGTCATTTTTATATTTGTTTAACGCGAGCTTTCAGTAGCATGAAGCACTGTGTTAAACTTCTCATGAAAGGAATGCAGCTTGCCTTCATGTAAGTCCCGCAAATCTGACCTAGAGTTGTCCCTGGTTACTTTATGGCAATAGGCTTTGGGATATTGATGATGGGTGGTTGGGAACATTTACCTGCTGCCATCGCTTTTATTGCAACGGTTTGTGACGATCTGGGGAAAACCACAGCGGGGCAGCATCAAACCCCGCATGAAGATGGAGCTGGGAAAGGATGAGATCAGACCCTGAGGGCTCGGCCGGCAGCCCGGGCACCTTACTCGTTATGGGCCCAGACGGGGCCCGGCCGTGGGCGAGCTCATTGCCAGCAGCTCCGCGCGCGGCCCCTACGCAGTGCATCCGCTCGTCGCGCCACTCCAGGTCCGTCACCGTCACGCGCACCAAAGCCGAAGCGGCGCGCCGGCACCGGACTCCTACATCTCGCAACGCCGGCGCGGATTCGCTAGGCCGTGCTGATCCGCCAAGACCGCGATAATACACAACAGTTTGTTTTCGCGCAGGACCAGCTGTTGCTCCACACGGTTATGAGCGGTGCCGCGGGCGGGGCGGACGAACGGCGCGCGGCGCATGCTATCGGTGTGGCTGGCGCCCGCCGTCGCCGGGACCCGAGCTACCGGTGTGGCTGGCGCCTGCCGTCGCCGGGACCCGAGCTACCGGTGTGGCTGGCGCCGCCGTCGCCGGGACCCGAGCTACCGGTGTGGCTGGCGCCTGCCGTCGCCGGGACCCGAGCTACCGGTGTGGCTGGCGCCTGCCGTCGCCGGGACCCGAGCTACCGGTGTGGCTGGCGCCCGCCGTCGCCGGGACCCGAGCTACCGGTGTGGCTGGCGCCCGCCGTCGCCGGGACCCGAGCTACCGATGTGGCTGGCGGCCTGCCGTCGCCGGGACCGCGAGCTACCGGTGTGGCTGCAGCCTGCCGTCGCCGGGACCCGAGCTACCGGCTTGTGGCTGGCGCCTGCCGTCGCGGGACCCGAGCTACCGGTGTGGCTTGGCCGCCGCGTCGCCGGGACCGAGCTACCGGTGTGGCTGGCGCCGCCGTCGCCCGGGACCCGAGCTACCGGTGTGGCTGGCGCCCGCCGTCGCCGGGACCCGAGCTACCGATGTGGCTGGCGCCTGCCGTCGCCGGGACCCGAGCTACGGATGTGTCGGCGCCCGCCGTCGCCGGGGCCCGAGCCAACGGTGTGGCTGGCGCCCGCCGTCGCCGGGGCCCGGGCTGTGCTGTTACACGTGCGAAGCTCCCTTGATCGGCGGGGTGGCCGTAATATTGAGTCGGGAACCTCCGCCGTTGTTGACATAGCTGCGCGGCCCAGCTACGCCCCTGTCGGTTGTTGTCGTTGCCCGCGTTTAACAACACCGTGCACCTGTGCGGCCGGTCGGCGCCCCGCTCCTCCCCCCCCCCGCGCGTGAGTTGGCCGGGCGAGGACTGCTACAGCCGCGCCTGCTTTTCGTCTATGATGCCGCGGAGGACATTAGTGTTTCTTCTCACGATTAGAGCTCACCGTAAAGCTAATCATAATATAAGAACTCACCGTAAACGTTACCGCAGGCGGGAATCGATCGCAGATGCTGGACCATGTTGCCAGACTGCTGCAATGTCGTGCTCATTGCCGTGCCGTGGACATGCTCCCAACGTGGACCTACCGCCGTCGATGACATCATTGCCGGCCGTTTCAGAGGTCATATCCACTTCCGGCTGGCTGCCTCCGAGCTGGAGCAGGTGTACGTGGACCCGGAGGAGGCGGCCTTCATCACCAATGTGCGGCGCGGCTTCCTGCACGTGCTGCGCATCAGCCGGCCACGGCTCGAGAGGCCGGGCAAGGTCGGCAGCGGCCTGCACGCCCGGCCCTGTCCCCTCTCGCTCTCCGTGTCTGTGCCCGTTTTGTCAGTCCCCGAGTCTGCTATAGCAGCGTGTTGTCGCTGTTCGCCTGTTATCGTTCGTTGTGCGCATTGGTTGAGAGCCTCAATTGGTCCGTTGTCCGTTCAAATGGCAGCTCGCTGAGAGATAAAGTGTGTCTCCGCGGGCCGTGCCACCGGCTCCGGGGCCGGGGTGCGGCTGTCAGCTGTCAGCTGTCAGCTGCCGGCTGTCAGCTGCCGGCTGTCAGCTGCCGGCTGGCACCCGGCCGCCGGATCCCAGCTGGTGAGGCCGGCTGGTGACGTGAAAGACGGCGATGATGACCACAGAAGTACATCGTTTCGATGTGGATTCCTGAACTAAAATTGATTAGCCTGATGTGGCACCACGTGATGTCGACGGAAGAAGATGTATCGACATCACTTGGCGGTCCAGCAGGCGTCTGGTATTGGGTTCTGCGCATAGACATATTGGCCTACTCGCTTGCGCGTGCTTATCTGCAGAACGGTTTACATTTTTCGCTGTCATGTCAAGCGACGAAATTTTATCCAGTGACAAACCCTTTTGAATATTCGCCCACCTGGTACAATTGTTACAGAGGCTGCGTGACGAGTTGAGCAGTTTGCTAAGCAGTTTACTCCCCAAAACGGGACGAGACAAAGGCCAGGTAATGGGTTATTCGTGGGTTGCGCGCAGTTGTCTTCATCAGCTAACGTTTACAAACTGTGCAGAGGTATGCTAAAAACATCAGGAACCCGATTTGAAATCAGACACTTAAACGCCGTATTTCATTCATCTGGATACATGCAGTTGACTATATTTCACTCAACTATAATATCTGGGGCCTCGTTCCCATGACCAAACGCCGTTCGCAAGTGGCAACCTATGACATCAGAGGTCAGTGCTTCACAACAGTGCCTACGGCTTGAAGGATTGTCGTTTGTATATCATGTAGGCACTTCTTTCGTCATACGTAGCAACTCGGGTAGGTACTTTGTCAATGGGGAACGCGGCTGAGAAGTCCCCTGTTGTTACGCGCGCGCTCACCGGCAACGAGCGCATCGGTGCTCGTCTGTGCTTGTTGGCATTGGATGCCTTGTGGCCAGGCCACGGTGGCGCGGCACTGGGTCCCTCATTTTCACCGTGCTGAAACGCAGGAGTAAGCCCTGGTCCGCGTCAGGTAGGGCGCGGTCGGCGGCTTTTGCGCGTGCGCTTGTGCGCAGGCGTGCCGCTCTGGGCGCGGCGCGATAGCCGAACTGATACGGGACGATCGCAGGGTCGGCCCGGGCGCCGGGTGCCGACCCCAGCCGGCCGCTGGCGGGCCCCGGTCAGCTGGTCTGCCGAGCGACGCCGGGTGCCGACCCCCAGCCGGCCGCTGGCGGGCCCCGGTCAGCTGGTGTGCCGAGCGACGCCGGGTGCCGACCCCAGCCGGCCGGTGGCGGGCCCCGGTCAGCTGGCGTGCCGAGCGACGCCGGGTGCCGACCCCAGCCGGCCAGTGGCGGGCCCCGGTCAGCTGGTGTGCCGAGCGACGCCGGGTGCCGACCCCAGCCGGCCGGTGGCGGGCCCCGGTCAGCTGGTGTGCCGAGCGGCGCCGGGTGCCGACCCCAGCCGGCCGGTGGCGGGCCCTGGTCAGCTGGTGTGCCGAGCGGCGCCAGACTCTCGCCGCCGTCATCCCTGGCTCTGCGGGACTCGAGGGACTGTCGTCTTTTGAGTGGGCTGTTTTGGATCGTACGCTCTGGGTCAGAGAGTTGCTGACGAGTCGCGTTCATTCAATCAGTACCCATAAGCTGTGAATGGTATATCCAGCGGAAATGGAATGTGCTGGCCTCGGTGTTGCAGACAAGTCTGCCGGCTGTGCAAAACAAGTAGTGGCCTCAGGCCATGGCCAGCGTTTTCAATTCATGCTGCCGGCTCAGTCCTGTGTCCTTGTCATGACTACTGCTGGCTGCGGTGTCAGACGCCGACTCCGTGAGGTGGCTGCTGACTCCGTGTCACGTCCGTCTGGCGACCGCTACCGCCGGTGCGCTGCGTGATCCACAACTGACGTTTCAGACGGTGGACGGCGACTGCGAGTGGACTGTTAGCCGCACTCCTTCCGGCCGCCAGCGGGTGGAGCGGTCCCGGGGCTGCGACCCGGCACAGAATCAGCCCAGTGTGCTCTCACCCTTCTCACCGATTTCCTCCCTGGTGGGTTCGCTTAGTAGGCTGCCACGCAGGCGGTCTGCGTGTTAATAGATCGACTGTGATATTCCCTGAAACTTGTTCATGTTAACCCAAGGTTTATGAACGTCACGCAGGATCGCAATGCAACCCTGATGGGATGTACATGAACGCTGATATACAACGCTGATGGGATGTACATCAACGCTGATATACAACGCTGAGGGGATGTATGTGTGTGCCATCGGAAGTGTTCGGTTCGCGTTGCTCTGTGCTGAGCCGGTGGGCGCGTGCGGCCACTGGCCCAGCCAGCTCTGTGGGCGGGCAGTGACGCGGCGCCGCTGCCGGCTGTAGCGGCTGCTGGAGGACCAGCTGGCGGTGTCGTCGGCCTGCGAGTACGAGGCCGATTGGGGCGAGCTGCGCGCCGCCGCCTGCCGCCAGACGTGGCAGCTGCACCCTCCCGGCCGAGCCGCCGCCGACCTCGTCCAGGTGGTGGTCACGTGAGTCAGGCGCTGGCGGCAGCACGAGCTCACAGCCGGCTGCTCCACCGGCCCCAGCGGGCCAGCGAGACCACTGGAGCCTTGTACGAGCCCCAGACCAGGGATCGCACGTACACTTACCGCACGCACAAATGGAGTAAAATGAGGCCATTGGGCTGCATGGGCGTAATCACGTGCCTGAGACTAAGGTGGACAGATGGGGATTGGGAGGATCAGAGCGGAATCCGAGGGGGGGGGGGGCAGTTATCCCGTACGCGGCGCCGGCACACCGTCGCCGATCGTTGCGAGGTGCGGAGTCTCAGCCCATCGCAGGCGGTGGCTGAGAGGCATGGCCGCTGGCGGGCCGCCGTTGACCGGGTACCGACCGCTCACAGGCAGGATCTGAGTCTGCTGTCGACGCGCGCCGCCGACCCACCGCTGGAGCGCAACACGCGGCAGGCGGGCGCCGCCTTCCAGCTGCAGGACTCGGCGCCGTTCGTCGACGTCGGGGACAACTCCGGTGAGGGGCCGGCGGGAGCGGCCGGAGGCAGTGAGACGGTGAAGCCGGGCAGAACGAGCCCAGCTGAGATAAGCAGGCTGTACCGTCTCCGGGGGAGGGCGGCAGCAGTACCGTGGCCTACTGCATGTTTCTAGCGATGGGTCGTGTTGCTGTGCTCAGTGGGCACTTGTACCGTCATGTGTTGTCTGTGTTTGTGCGCTGTTTCCACCGATATGTCTGCCGGCGAGGACCGACGCCGTTTACCTATTTGGTACGTCTTGGCACGTGGACGCCGTCGCTGTGTACCCAGTGGGAACCTGAGTAGGTGCTGCTCGAGGCCGCCACCCAGAGCCACCCAGAGCCGGTCGATACCCATCTCGAGTGTCAGTACCCAGCGCTCTCTCCGATAGCGGCGCTATCGTACACCAGCGAACCATGGCGACGCACCGCCTGGCCCTGTGATACGCGGAGCCCTTGACGCCCCCTGGACGGGACAGCACGTGCTTCGCGTTATGGTGCATCGGCTGGCGGACTGTTGCTGTGCGGGCCGCGGGAGAACGGCGGCTGAGCCGGCCGCTGTGGCCCGACTGAGATGTGGCCGGCCGGGGCTGGGAGCGGTCGGCGCGCGCCGCCCGCTGGGACGTCACCAGCTGGTGTGGCCGCGTTTCTGTCGGAGCCGACAGACAGCCTGGCCATCGGGCGGTGCTGGCTGGCGGCGGGCGGCGAGCGGTGGCCGAGCCGGCCGGGATGGCTACAGGCCCGGCCGGCGGATCAGGTGTCCGATAGGTCTGGTGGCCCCATCACGAGACCAGATGGTGCGTGCTCATCGCGCTGCTGGTCCGGGAGCATGCTCCTCCCAACCGCGCCACACAGAGCAGGCCGGCCGGTATTCGTGTCACGCCGGCCAACAGTGAGGGGTGTAGCGCGCCGTTCCGCTATTTGCGCGCTGCATACTGGGTGAGGACGAGGAAACGGACTCCAGTTTCTCCCTCGACCGTTTTCGTATTTTCGAAATGGATGTTTTGAGAATTCTGAAAATTGCCGTCTTCTGGCGATGATGCGTCGCCGGGGCGGGTCGGCAGCCAGACCGGGCGGGGGATGCCCAACAGCGGCGCGCTCCGCCAGGGCGGCCGCGGCCCCGCAGCCACCCCCGCAGATCTGCCGACAGCGGGGACGGCAGATTGCTGACCCCGGCTCTCGGGCTGTCACTGTGTACACTTTGACGTGGTCCTGAGCCCCCCCCCCCCCCCACATTCTCATTCGAGCCATCTTTATGCTCTTCTGGGCGCCCTTATGCGTATGAGCATATACGAAAATACTAGGGCAATGAAGTGCTGCGAATGTCTAAACTGCTGTTATACGAGGTATTTAAACACATCACAATATTATCATCCATCATCATATATCATCATTCATACCATCACGTCGGCGTCGATTGACGGGAACGCAATCAATGGCCAAATGGTCAAAATTCGGGGAGAAGTCAGTGTCTGGGCTAGAGACGGCGCGCTGTGTCACCTGTGAGTCAGCGCAAACATAAAAGTTCCCGTTCGCCGTTGCCGAGTTCCCTGTGACCAGCTCTGGCACCAGTGGGCTGCGAATAGACGGCCGTTGTCGGGTCGGCCGGCGAGCGAGGCCGCTGCTGGCCTCGCCCATCTCTACAAAGCTGTCCTTCAGTTTCCCCTGGCGGTCGGTCTGTGCTGAGTCTCTGTGGATTGCCGGCACTGCTAGGCCCGGCTGTATTGGGTTACGCCGTCCCGTGAGTCGCGTTCAGCAGGCGCCGTGTCCAGTCACGTCCAGGCTGAGTAGCGTGCGTGAGCCCAGTCATCCGCCGAGATGGCTCTCCTTACATCTGAACCGGTGCTCCGTTCGGTTTCAGTGTTCGGTCGCCTTCGAGATCTCATATCCTCCAGTGTTCCATTGATGACTCCGGAAACGCCGCAGAAGTTCACAAATTTGCTACGTGCGCTCAGGCGGAAATATGAGAACCCCCTTCACATGTCCGACAACTGCACAGATTGTGCGACCTTCGGAAAGGTATGTGACGTGCCACGCGCGCTGCCATCAGTAACCGTCTGCCACAGTCGGCCAACAGGAGGCGCAGCTATCTAACGACAATGCTGACAGGACGGGCGGACCCAGTTACCGCGGTAATCGCCCCGCTCGCTAGGTTGAACCGAGCAACAGCGTGAGACACGGCGCGGCCTTGAACTCAAATCGTCGTGGACACCGGATGGAGAGCATTGGCCATGCCGTGAGCCGCAAGGTTCGGGTGTGTGGCCTGCGTCTGTAGTGAGCGGCCGCCGATCTGGCGTCGCCGCCTGCTGACCGCTGCTCACGGTGTCGGCCGGCAGGAGGTGATGGACTCGGCGGCGCGAACGGCCGTGCTGCAGTGCGGCTCGGCCGCCTGCCTGCGCGAGGTGGCCGCCATGGTGCGCTCGGGCGAGCTGACGGGCGCTCGGCTCACGCCTCTCTACCTCACCTGGCACTGGACGACGGTACGGAGCCGGCCGGCGCTGCACGCGGAGGACGCTCTGAGGCGTGATCGTCAGAGCACTGGCACGAGCCGGGACCGGGACGTGCCATTGTTTTCATGTCGGACGCTGATCTGTTTAGTCTCCCGAAACAGCCGCCGGTAGGGCTAGCCCCGTAGCCAAACGGCCAGCATATTATGCACTAACACGATGCCTCACTGTGTAATAAGCGTGTTGACCCATTTAGAGGCTGGGGCATTCTGTCTCTAATTGCACCTCTGGCAACACCGCTATCTTCCCACCGTGATGTGGACTCCGAGGCCAGCAGTTTTCTCCTTCACGCCCACCCCCGATCGCTCTGACGCCCCCCCCCCCCCCCCAGATCCGCGATGTTGAGAGCGCGCACAGCATGTACTCGCTGTGCGAGCTGGCGCCTACGCGCTGGTGTCTGCTGGGCCTGGCGGGCGCCCTGCGACGCAGCGCCGCCGCCGGGCCGCGGCTCACGGCCGTGGTTGACCGGTTGCGCCGCACCGCCGTCGACATGATCGGATCGCGCTGCGAGGGCGGTGACGCCGCCGTGCTGATGGCGCTCAAGGTGGGCGGCGGCGGCGGCGGTGGTCCGCGCGCCGGCCGGCGTCGCACGGAGCGCGCTCTGGCCGGCTGGAATGCTGACTGATTGCGAACTTTGGGTTTCTTCAGAGATGTGACACGCCCTGTTTGTTGTGTTTTGCCTTTTGGAATCTGTTTACCCATCGCTCATGATTTGTTTCACCTTCGTTTTGGTTTACGCCTATGCAGACAGAGGGCGCCACGGTGCTCGCTGTTGCCCGCGTCGGCCGGCCAGCGGTTAGGGCGCCGCTTGCCTCCCCGGGCACTGCCCACTGATCGGTACTCCTGCCGCGGCCAGACTGGAGCACTGCTTGCCTCCCCGGGCACTGCCCACTGACCGGTGCTCCTGCCGGGGCCAGACTGGAGCACTGCTTGCCTCCCCTGGGCGCTGCCCACTGACCGGTGCTCCCGCCGCGGCCAGACTGGAGCACTGCTTGCCTCCCTTGGGCGCTGCCCACTGACCGGTGCTCCTGCCGCGGTCAGACGCTGAGTAACCTGGGCGACCTGGCACTGGACGACTTCGCCACGCTGTCGGTGGTGCGGAGCTGTGCCTCGGAGCCCAGCCGGCCGGTGCTGGTGGCCAGCGAGGCGGTGCGCACGCTTGACAGGGCCCGGCTGCCGCCCAAGTTCGCCACCGTCCTCCAGGTAACGGCACACCGGGGCGGCGGTGGAGCTGGAGCGGAGGTGCCGCGCCGCTCGGTCTGAACAGACTTTGTGCGCATGCGCGTCAGTGGGCTGACGTAGCTGTCAAGGTTTTCATTTGCGCCCGTATCAGCGACACAGTGCTATGTTAGGGAGCCCTGAAAAGGGAGGGCGTGGATAGGTCGATGGTAGAGTGGCGCTAGAATGTGCTATGTTAGGTACATCCTGTGCTTCTGTGGTGGGAAACACTTGGACAAACATGCGAGAAGAGTCAAATCATCCCACAGAAAAAAAGGTGCTGACGAGTATCTATGCGCTGCAGATACGCCGAAACCTTTTCACATGATGTGGAAAAGCGCGGGTAATAGACGGTGATGACTTGCACTGTGTCGGTGCGCTGTTAAGGCATGAAAGTCGCTCTCCCACGTGCTCACAATACCGGCCGCCGCGTCTTTGGTTACCCAACTTCGCGCATGCCTCGTGATGTGTTCTCTGGGCATGTCCATGTCCGAGTCCGTTTGGCGCCGCCGGCGGCCTCCGTAGTGGCGCGCCGCCCTCAGCCGCGCCCTCCGCGCCGTTGCAGGACCTGTACAAGGACGAGCGGCACGCGCTGGTCACGCGCCAGCTGGCCTACCTGGCCCTGCTGCGCCGCTTCCCGACGGAGCGTTGGTTTCGCATGGCGCTGAGGTGGGCGACGGCCCACCCTTCCGACGCGCTCTCGACGTTCGTGATGCGCCACTTCAAGCGCTTCCCGCGCACCGACCCGCGCCGCGCGCTGACTCGGCGCGTGGCGGCCGCGCTCTCCGTCGACCTGGAAGCCGTCACGGACGGCCTCTTCAACTCGCCGAGCGTGTCGACAGTGCGCGAGCTGCGTCTGGACCGCTGGCTGCAGATGGCGCTGCCGTCGGTGCCGGCGCCCGAGGCCGGCGTGCAGCTGTGGCGGCTGCACGGTGCCTCGTTCCTGCCGCACCTGCTGCTGCTCAACACGACACTGCGGCTGGGTGGCGGCGGCGCTACGCCGCTGCAGCTGGAGCTGCGCGCCGTTGACTTCGAGCGCTTCTTGCACGACCTGGTGCGCGACCCCGAGTTCGATTTGACGACGGCGCGCGGCGCGCTGCGCGAAGTGGCGCAGGCGGTGCTGGCGGCGTTCGGCGGCTGGTTCGGCGGGTGTCAGCTTCGTCAGCGCTTCTGGCGCGGCCGCGCCTGGCCAGCTACGCCTGTCGCCGGACGTCTCCGCCTGGCTACGGCGCCTGTTGCAGGCGTACCAGGCTCGCACAGCGCTGCCCGACGGCCAGCCGCGAGCTGTGCTTACCGTCAGCGTAATGGGCAGTCAGCTGGCGTACCTGACGGCCGATGACGTCATCAGCCGGCTGGAGGCGTTCGACCCGCCGCCAGAGCCCATCCGCATCCTCGGACGCAAGCTTTTCCACTCAGAGACCATCTTTAAATTCCTGGAGGGACAGCACAGGGTGAGCGCCGGCTCCTCTTGAGGTGGATATCCAGGCTTGACTGGCGTGAAGTTTGTCTCTCCACCTCTTATTGTGGATATCTTGCTTGGTTCACACGCGCGCTGGCGAGCGTTGTCTGTGTTCGTTCCGTCATTTTGTGCCCTTCTGCAACATGCAGAATCCATGCCAGGTATAACATTTGTACGCGATGCATTAAACTTGGATATCTTAGCTCATACTGCGCCACATCCACGTCAGACCTGTTGGTGTTTGTTGCCTGAGAAGTTTGCGTGTCAGCGTGTGACGGCGGGCCTGGCGGCGGCAGGTGGCGCTGGCGGTCGGTCTGCCGCTGCAGATGTTCGCGGACGGCACGCTGGCGGCCGGCGCGGCGGCCGAGATCTCCAGCCGCCTCGGCCGGTCCTACCGCAACATGTCGGAGGCGTTCAACGGCGACGCCCAGCTGTCAGCCAGGTGAGGCCAGTGCCGTCGACGCCAGCCCACGTCCCAGACCTGCGCCGATTCACGGCGATTTGGCGACAAGGCCTGGGATTGTCGTCGGATCAGCCCATGTGATCTTATGAAGTGTCGAGCTGGCATTCACCGGTTTTTATTCTCACTGTAGAATGCTCTTGAATGCCATTTGGACGACTGCCGTCGTTCAAGCCTCATCTGACAGTGTCTCGTGACCGCCCCCAGTGTCGGCCTAAGCGTGGTAGTGGGTCTGGAGGTGGCTCTTCCGCCGTTCGCTCGCACCGGCCTCCAGCTCAACTCCACGGCGTACGCGCCGTTCAGTCTGAACGTGTCGTACGCTGTCATGAACAGGACGGTGCGGCTGACGGCGCCAAAACCGGATAGGAAGCGCACGCTGCTGCTGCTCAGGTCGGTCGCCGTGGGCTCGTGAGTCCCCATCCCCGTCTTCATAACGGTGTCTGGGCTTCGGACTGTCGGTCGCCGCCGAGGTTGTCGGGTTGAGCTCTCAGGAGACGGCCTCGTCGGCAACCGAAGTTACAGCGCGGCTGTCACGTCCAGCAGGCAGGGCAGGGCAGGCAGATGACTGGCGCACAGAGCGGGTCTGCGCCGTGCCCGGCGCGGCACACGCGCGCGCCCCGCTGTGTACCGGTGCCGTGTCCGGCGTGAGTCGACGGACGTGAAGGTGCGCTGTGGCGGCGGCCGGCGCTGGCCGTGCTCTGCTGTGGTGAGACGACAGGATGGTCGGCTGCGTCTGCGGCCGCCGTGTGGTGACGTTCCGGCGCTGTTGCAGCCACGGCGCGCAGCTGCGGCAGGGAGAGGCGCTGCGCCCGTCGCCGGCGGCCGACGCGCGCGCCGTCCACTGCCTGCCGCAGGCTGTGTACACGGGCCTGTCGGTGTGTCGTGAGCTGCGCACGGCCGGCCGGCTGGGCCTCACCGCCCCGGTCATCTATCACGTCACGGCCGAGAACACCGAGCAGCAGTGAGTACACGGCGGCCCGCGCTGCAGGACGGCAGCCGGACGAACCTGGGACGAATCAGGTGGCCGCGGACTCACAGACGGACCGACTGACCGACATACCGGCCAACGGACCGGCCTGCCAACACTGGAATATTCGAACCACCGATCGACGCAGCCACCGACTGAGCGGACAGATCAAAAACGCGTGGCTCGGACAGCCGCCTGGCCGGTGACGTGAACAGGCGGACGGATGACCAGCTGGCTGACTGAACAACCAGCTCTCCGGTTCTCCGGGCGCTGCTCAAGCTGCAGCCGATAGCCTTGGAAGTGATGCCGTCATTCGGGATGTGTCACGAGTCACGTCATATGTCACGTGCGGTATGCTGTTGTGAAAGCGGCTGGACCGGGAGCACACCAAGCCATAACCCAGCCTCGTGGCACTGCACCTCAAACCCCCCGGGGGGGAGGGGGGTGCTCCGCTCTGTTGCCACTTCCCTGGGACGGAACGCCCGGCGATGGCTGCTGACGGGCGCGCGGCGCCGGCAGCCCGTTCGACACGTACACGCTGGACGTGTGGACGACGGCGCGCGAGGACGGATACCAGCACGGCGGCCTGGCGCACGTGTACCTGCACCGGCCGGCGGCGCGCGCTGCCGACCTCCGGCTCCGGCTCGGCTTCCGACTGATGCCCATCAACTACAACCCGCTGCTGTTCCACCGCGGTCAGAAGGCCAACACCACGCTGGAGCTGGTAGTAGGAGGTAGGCGGTAGGCGGCGGTCGGGACGAGGCCGGACGGTGTCACGGTGTCCGTCAGCGGCCGAGGCCATGCGGCGTCCGGCCTGCCGGTGGCCCTCGCAGCGCGGTGGGTCTTCTGCTCCATACATCAGAGCGGGAACAGAGACCTGTGGTTATGCTGGTGTCCCAGTGTGTCGAGGGCGTTTGCACGATGGTGAGTTGCAATGCTTGAGTCCAAGACTAGATGTGTATTTGTGTTCAGTGCCGAGCTCAGCCGCTCATATCTTCCGCCGTTAGAAAAACAACACAATGCTGCCATATATTTGTAGTGTAACAGTGTGGCAAGATGGTGTGTTGGCTCGACATGACGCTGCGCCGTTTGGCCGCGGCCGTTTTCATGCCTGTTTAGTGCTGTGTGCATGACGTGTGTTCCAAGCCAGGCTTTTTGATAGGAACCACACTACCTTTATTGTTATCCTGTGCTCGGATCTCCTATTTTTGCTTTTATATTGCCCATTTTTGCTTTTATTTTTGCTTTGATATACTGCGTAGCTGTTTCCTGGCCTGTCCAATGTTTATACTCTACGTGTCTTCAGCGGCTTCCTCTGTGTTGCAGAGGAAGACAAGCCTCTGTGGTATGTGTACCTGATTCGAGCTCACACTGAGCAGGAGGACGTGTTGTTCTCGGAGTCTCGCGGCTGGTTGATGGCGCGCGGCAAGACCTTGCTCAGCGCCGAGATGACGGTGAGTGGGCGCCACCGACGGGCCGGGCGCCGGCGGCCCTCGGCTGGCAGCCCGGCCTCTGTCTGCCGGACAGCGTCACGCGGGCCGTGCCAGTGTCAGACCGCACAGCCGGCCGGGCGGACCTGACGCCCGACGCTCATTCCGTCGGCGATCTGCCGGCGATTTCCCTGCGATCTTCCGTCGTCGAGCGTTATGCCTCGGCCCGCAGATCTGAAAGTGAAGCGTCCGTCCTGTTGTCTGCTGCGCTAACGTGTGTGGTGTGCGCGTGCTGAGTGTACGGTCGATGACGCTCGTGAGACGACCGCCACCTCTGTGTGACCATGACCCCGGTGTGACCTCCCTGTGTGACCGCGACCGGTGTGTCGTGGCCAGCGCGAGCAGCTGCTGCCGTGGCTGGCCCCGACTGGCCGTCGGGACAACCTGTATATCCACCTGATGAGGACGGGCCACCACGTGCGGTACAATCGCCGGTACAGCGCGTCCAGTCGGCCCGATGGCGATGTTCAGTTCTCGGCCGACCTCTCCTACGCCACGTGAGTACCGCCCCTCCCCCCCCCCCCCCCGCCCCCTGGGTGTCAGACTCGCTCGCCTCTGGTGTCTGCGGGCTCCGGTGTGTTGAGGCGCTGACTGCAGCTCTGCCCGCCGGGTGCGGTGGGTCCGTGTTGCCGCCGGGCTCCGGTGTGTTGAGGCACTTACTACAGCTCTGCCCGCCGGGTGCAGTGGGTCTGTGTTGCCGCCGGGCTCCGGTGTGTTGAGGCGCTGACTGCAGCTCTGCCCGCCGGGTGCAGTGGGTCTGTGTTGCCGCCGGGCTCCGGTGTGCTGAGGCGCTGACTGCAGCTCTGCCCGCCGGGTGCAGGGGGTCGCCGCCGGGCTCCGGTGTGTTGAGGCGCTGACTGCAGCTCTGCCCGCCGGGTGCAGGGGGTCGCCGCCGGGCTCCGGTGTGTTGAGGCGCTGACTGCAGCTCTGCCCGCCGGGTGCAGGGGGTCGCCGCCGGGCTCCGGTGTGTTGAGGCGCTGACTGCAGCTCTGCCCGCCGGGTGCAGGGAGTCGCCGCCGGGCTCCGGTGTGTTGAGGCGCTGACTGCAGCTCTGCCCGCCGGGTGCAGGGGGTCGCCGCCGGGCTCCGGTGTGTTGAGGCGCTGACTGCAGCTCTGCCCGCCGGGTGCAGGGGGTCGCCGCCGGGCTCCGGTGTGTTGAGGCGCTGACGCCATGTTTGTGTCGCCAGGGCATTCCACAGCGGCCCGCTGCTACGGCTGCTGCCTCCGCAGTTCTACGACGCCGACAAGCAGACGGCCTGGCTGCGGCTGAACCTCAGCCGACAGGTGACGGCCAACGACGAGGTAAGCTGGCCGGCACCGGGCGCCGACCGGCCGGCGTCGGCGGCACAGGCTGCGGCACTGAGGCACCTCACGTTGGATGCGCTCACCGGGGACGATTAGTATAGCGCGTGCCAGATTTCCGTAAACTTAAGCCTTGGAGAACACCGAAACGAGAGGAGTACTTTCCCAAGTGTGGCCAAATTAATTCACGGAAGCCTGCTTTGGACGGATGCTGCAAGATAAACTAGCATGGAGCTAATCGCAGTGTTCTCGCGTATGAAGTGGGATTGGCACTGTCCCAACTCCTCGGGCATCCGAATTGCCACATGTGCAGCTGTGGATGCCGTCAGCGGCGCGCCTGCGGTGTGGCCAGCCGGCTCCAGCGCGGCGGCGTGCAGGGGCCGACTGACCCGCCTACGGGCCTGCCGCAGCTGACCGAGGTCAACTGGAGCCACACGGCCAGCGCAGCCACGGTCGGGGTCACACTAGCCGGCCTGCTCAACTGGACAGCGACGGCCGACAGCAGCGCACGGCTGGTGGCCAACCTGAGCTCGCTGGAGACGCGTACCGGCCGCACGCTCATGTACACGGCCGCCAGCGGACGCTACGACCGCCAGATCGAGGTAAGCGCGCGCCATGGGTGACGGGGGGGCGGCGGCCGACACATCTGGGCGGGATCTGGCAGCGGTGCACGGGACTCCCTTCAACATTGGCTGTGTTGTTGACGAATTACGCTGATGATGGCCGTGAATGTACTTGCTCGTTATGCTGTATATATTCTCATGATGTCACACTATTGGTCGCTAACGACTAGCTTCCGTCGGAAATATCACTTGCGAGGCTAGGGGAGTAAATTGGCAAAGTACGGATTGCAGCGTGGTACGGAATAAGGACCGTTGACCGTATCGATGTCTGCGTTAGGCTCGTCGGCCGGTCGGCTTGCTCCATCCCTCGCCGTCGTGTCTCGGCAGGGAGGCGTCGTGACTGATGGGCTGCAGGCGGCGCTGAGCTACCCGGGCGCCCAGTACGAGGGCCGGCTGCGACTGGACCGGCAGCCGGCCGGCCAGCTGACGGCCAACGCCAGCCTGGAGCGCCGCGCCGGCTGGCAGAGCCGGCTGACGGCTGCGCTGGAGCCGACGCAGCCGGCGCCCGGCCGCCGCCTCACCGCCACCCTCTACCTCCCCGGCGACGAGCTGCGGCTGCGCAGCGAGTTCAGCGCGACGCCGCGGCCCCGGCCCTGGCGCAGCTGGTACAGGTGCGCCCTCTGCTTCCGCTGCTAGGCGCTGGAGGCCGGCGCCGTGCGCGTGGTTACGGGGAGGGGACGCGATTGCCGGACACCGCGGGATGGGCACTGTCCTGTGTCATGAGCCGTCAGCTTGGAGCCACCATGATATGGCAGAGAGGCGCCACTCACCGTGGACCTGTGAAGACCGGCCGGAGTGTGGGGCCGGTGGGCCGTGCTCTGTTCTCTCTGGCGCTCTGCCGGCCGCCACGGCTCCTCCCTGCCACGCTGCGGCCTCCGGCAGGGACGACTACTCGTTCAACCAGAGCTCGCAGCTGTGGTGGTCGCGGCACGACCTGGAGCTGAGTTCTCGCCTGGAGGCGGACAGCAGCGCCTCCGCGCTGCAGGTGTACGCCGACCTGGCGCTCAACCGGCCGGCTGTGAGCGCGGCCGCCCGGCTTGACTGGGACCGGCGCCGGCGGCTCTGGAGCTCGGACGTCTCGCTGGCGTCGCCGGCACTCCGCTTCAACAGCACCGCCACGTCCAGCGGTGAGTGGAGCCGCGGCGGCGGATGGCGCGCCATTGTAGCCGAAGCGTGAAGCGCCAGCCTCTATCAGCTCTGCTTCTTGCCGTTTGTAGGTTTGCGTTGCACTGAACGCAGCGTGTTGATAGGGTTTGGAGTTTCGTGTGTCACTGTTAGAGTCGTTCGGAGCTGGAATGCCGCGTGTTCGGTATGACTGGCGTCGGTGAGCCAGCTCCAGGTGAGGTGTGGAGACCGCTCACGACAGGACAGTTGGCTGAGCCTGGTCCCTCGGCCCCGAGCCGTGAGCCGCGGTCCCTCGGTCCGGAGCCGTGAGCCGCGGTCCCTCGGTCCGGAGCCGTGAGCCGTGGTCCCTCGGTCCGGAGCCGGCCGTGACGGCCCGCTCGCCTGCCGCAGAGGTCGGCTTAGCCGGCATGGAGCGCACCATCACACAGAGCTCGGCGTCGCCTGTCTGGGACCTGCTC